CACCTTCCCTGTATTTTATCTCCCAGAATTTTCCTATCAGTGCAAAGGGAAAAATTGGATGAGTTTCACAAAGAGGGCAGGTGTCCTACACCTACAGTAAGGCCCTGGGCTTTTTTTTTTTCAAGAGAAGGAAAGCTCTCTACAATTCAGAAAGGTGTAAATTTACAAAGCCTGCTCATACTGTATGCTACTTGCAGAAATGGACAAGCAGCAGTGGATTTTGCGACCAGGCCTGCTACACATAGCCAGATGCTGTGTCATCAGGAGAAAAAGGCAAGAAAATAATGCTTCCCATTCATTATTTAATGGAGTGTAAAAGATGATGAGAGAGATTTTACAGATGAGATTTTAACATTCAAGCCCAAGGAAAGGTGCAAGGGGAAGTAAAATCCAATTGATACTGGAACAGCACAGAGAATGAGAAATTTAGGGTAGCACCTATAAGAAAAGTGCATGTAATACTGGGCCCAAAATGTCACAGGAGGTTGTGGAGTTTCTGAAGAGATTATTAAAATATTGCAGCAAAGAGCTTCAGTGAACAGCAACAAGTGAACTTAAAATGTGAAGAATAAAAAAAAAGGAAGTAAAGGAAGTGCACAGAGAACTTGCTAAAAAACACACACACAAGGTGTTTCAGACAAGTAAATAAGCAGCAGAACAAATGAGTTTAATACATGATATTGAAGTTTGGGAACAGCTGTTGCCCACGTTCATTTGCTCATGGTTAGCACATGTAATAACTTAGCTGAATGATCTTCTGTGGCAAGAAGAACCCCAGCAGGATCTGTGTCATCCAGCTTAGTTATAAACACAGTGATAATTTAAAAATTTTTACAAAGGCTGCATTTTCTCCTTTAGCAGCAGAGCTGACTGAGCTGCCCTTATCTCCCTGCTCATTCCAGCCCCATCCCTTCCCCTGATTATGCTGGTACAGCTCCTGTGCAGCCCTGCAGCAGTCAGGGGAGGGGATGATCCAGGTGGAAATGGATCCACACCTCTCAAACAGCTGAACCACTTCCCTACGCAGTAGCCCAAGGATTTGTGAGAGTGCAATGGAAAAGACATGGAAGATGCTTTGGCCAGTATTATTACCAAAAAATGCTATGAGGAACTATGGTTTCAGTTCATCAGTCAGGAGATAAGGTCCAAGAATTCCCACATTTCTTAGGCTATCTGCTCTTTTGTAAGTTTCGAAATCTATCTGAAAAAGTTTCTGCCTAAAGAGGAAAATACAACCCAGCTTTAGTTCTGCCATGTGCAGGGAAAAGGAGTTTTCATGATAACCTCACTGACTAACAGGCTATCACTGAACACTTAGAAGATCAGTGATTTTTACAAATCACTTTAACTCTGCCCTCCAAAAAGTGTGAAAGCATCAAAACCAGAGATTTTTATTCTAGTTTCCTGAACCAAGGTGGATTCAAAATAGTTCACTGTAAGGCTTCCTGCAACTGTGTCCCAAGTAGCCAGTGTAGTTTGTCAGAGAACAACTGAAATGTAACAAAATCTAGAAAAGCAATTGGCAGGACACTCCTATCTTCAGAACTATTTTTCCATCATTCACCTAATGGTCCTTTTTTTTAACAAAATATCAACTCTCATAATATTCTTAGGACAAAAATACAATTGCTTATTATCTTAGGATAATATCCTGTACCTCTCTGCACTCTACTCAAGAGTCATTGCAAGTAACTAACAAGTATCAGTGCTGCTTTAAACCTGTGTGTATGTACATGGTAGGTAAACATATACATGCATCCAAACAGGAACAGGATGTTTGGCTGTATCCTCTAAATTCTTTATCCTCTCACCTTAAAGTGGCTCTTCCAACATTGAGTTTTCTATTCTTTCCACTTGACACATAATACTATAAATCCAGCACTGCCAGACAAAAACAGCAGCAGAGAATTCTTGGCTGTTTTTGAGTGCTTTTTACCTGAAAGCCAACTACAGCCTGGCACATTTTCACCTCCTGTGCAGCTGACAAGGCTGTTTCAAAAATATGGAAAGCTGGAAGGTGTTGTATTTGTTCTCACTCACCTCTTTTAATTGCAGTGATCTAAAAGTTTTGAAGAACAAAATAGGTATCAATGCCTTCAATCTGGGAGATGTACATAGATGATTAATGGCAGGCTGTTCAGGTTTTCACAATCACTATGAAATATGACCTCAGACTGCAGATGAGGCAACACAATTTTTGGTTCAGTAAAAAAAAAAAAATCACTGCCTTTTCACGAACTTCAGCTGTATGCAGGTAGGAAGCAGAGAGCTAAAGGAAATTGGGTAGGGTTGTTTCTGTAGATGAGGATTGCTGTCATGTCCCATAAAACTAACTTTAGTCAGATTAGTGGCAGAAAGCTAACACGGCCTTCTCACTGCACAAAAGCCTTGAGAGGTGTGGCATGAGTAACTGATCTCCCCTTGCTTCCAGAGATCCAAAAATAGAGGTGAAGTGTGAATATCCCATTTGTTACAAAACGGTGCCAACAGAAATTCCCAGTTGGGGCCTTGTCTCTTATCAAAATATGCACCTACAGAGCTGTAGCTGCACTTAGGCAAGAAGAGGCTGCTTCTCACTGCAGCAGAACAGCTACTCTGCAGAGTAACATCTACAGGAGAGTCTGTACAGCGAGCGCTGTGCTGGTGCAGGTTTCCAAGAAACAGACAGGGAAATGATGTGACAGTCTAAATGAGATGTTTCTAAATGTTCTGTATCAGCAAACCCCTCTACCCTTTTCAGACCTTTGGGGTGTTTTTTGTGTTGGATTTTTTGTTTGACTGTTTTTTTACTTTTTTTACCCAGAGTAGTAGACACACATATCACCAAACCTATGAGAAAAAAATAAATTAGATGCAGACTGTTCAGTGCAGATCCAAAGACCATATTGAGAGCACCAACTCTGAATACTGGTGTTCTCTCAATTAAAGCATTAAAAATGATTATACTCTTCTTTACTACATGCAATAATTTCATTTTAGGTCACATGTAAGTGATGCTTAGCAAATACAAAACCACCTCCCTGTTCCCTTTTCTCCCTGACCTGTGAGGGGACAAAGCTGGTGAGGAAATGCAGAGATCTGTGTTTGAAAACATGGATCTGAGAGTCCTCCACTCTATTATGAAATAGAATAAAATTAAATGTTTTTTGAAAACTACAAAAAACAACAAGCAAGGATTTTCTGTCCCATTTCTGTATTTACAATGTAGTGCGTATTCCATCAAACCAAGAATGAATGAAATACACCAACAATTACACTCTCTTTAATCACTATCGACAGCTGCATTGCTTACTGAAGTCCTCAGACGTCTATTAATCACTTTAAAGTTTAGAAACTCTCTTCTCATGTTGGTATTACACAGTGAAGTGATGTAGAGCATCTTTGGCCTTCATTTCAAAAGAGGTGGTGGAAGTGAGAGAAAACAGAAATTCACATACAAGGAAGTATAGGTGAGAATTACAAATATTCATTTTGAACAAAACCTATTTCAGTGACTTCATATTTTACTGTATAAATCCACATTTGTTGATACAAGGAAGAAAGGATGCAAGCAGAGTCTCAAAATTCCTGTATTCTAAAATCGTGTTTAGTGGTGGTCAGCATGGGACTAAACAGGGATACATGATATTTCTAAGAAGTCTCTGGTCTTTTATTTAAGAAATGGGAAACATGTTTCTAACCCCAGGGGGGAAAAAAGAAAAAAAAAGAAAAGAAAAAGGTGTTATTTCAGAAGCAGACTGTGAGCCGGCATTCCAATATTAAAGAGAAAGAAACAAAAATTTTAAAAATGTTTCATGAAAAAAAAAAAAATCATATGACCATTTAAAACTTTTTATCCCTGTATACATTTAAGAGGTGTAACAACCTTTGCTTAAAAAGTCTGCCAGGTTGTTTTTGCTTAATACTGTAACACAAAAAAACTGCAGATATCCAGGATTTGAAAGTAGAACAAAGTCAAAACACTGTCTTCTATTCTAGGCAAAAAAAGAGAGAAAAAAGCCCCCCAGCTGCAGCAAGGCAAGGCTGGTGTAAAGCGGAAAAAGGCATTTGAGCTGACATTTGCTACTAAAGCTGGGAGAGAGGTCAAATCCTGTTCGCTGTGCAGCACCCAGGTCTGTGGAAAACTGGCAAAAGCAAATCCCAAACCGAGATTTACCAGCCGCAGCCTGGCTCAAGTTCGCTTTGGGTTAAAAATACTACCGGGAGCAGCAGCGCGGCAGGAGGGAACCGTATCCCTGTTACGTGACCTGCGCGCCAGCTCGGGCTGCGCCCGCGGTGCCGCCCGGAGCGCGGTGTTGGGTGACCGGCACCTCTGCCCGGCGCGGCCTCCCGGAGACGGAGTAACAGCGAGCCGCCGGACCGAGCGCTGCCCCGGCTTCCGAGCACAGATTTTATTAAAAGCTTCTCGTTACAGAGCCGGGGAGCGCCCCACGCACTCGTGTCCATCGCGGCGGGAGTCTGTTTGTTTATCCGTGCGGCGCGCTCGGGGCGCCGGGGAAGCGGAACTCCGGCGGGCGCGGGGGCCGCGGCGGCCCCGCGGGAGGGACCCGGGAGCCCGGCGGGGCCGGGGGCGGCAGCGGGGGAGCGAGAGCCGGAGCGCACACGGCGGGGAGGGGGCGCGGGCGGGAGCGCGGCCGCCCCCCGCCGCCGCCGCTCCCCCTCGTCGTCGTCCTCCGCCGCCTCCTCCGGGGGCCGGGGGGCGCGGCGCCCCTTCCCCGCCGCGCTGAGCGCCGCCGCTGGCTGCCGACAGAGCCGCCGCCGCCCGGCCGTGGCGGCCGCCGCCGGGCCGGCTCCCATCCGCCATTATCCTTTGTTCGCGGCGCGGCGGCGGCGGGGATGTTGCAGGGCTCGGCTCCATCTTTAAGGCGGGCGCCCCTCCCGCGGGCGGTGCGCGGCCGGGCCCCCGCGTCCTGCCGCCCGGCGGCTCCCCTGGTCCCCGCCGGGCTCCATTTCCTTCCCTCCCCCCCGCCCCTGTTTGCTGGGCGCCGTCCTCCTCTTACCGGTTACCAGGCTGCTCCGTCACTGCTTTCGTTCGCGCCTGGGATCTCGCCGCAGTTTTATTCTCTCCCCCACGTAACACACCGCGTCAAACTACACCTCCGCCGCGTCACTCACACACACAGGCGCTCCCAGCCCGGCGACAGGCAGGCAGCGGCCGACTGAGGAGCGCCAGCCAGGGAGCAAGCGCCGAGCGCGCCCGGCCCCGCACGGAAACCGCCGAGCACTCACGGAAAGCGCCGAGCGCCCGCCAGGCGGCGGGAACGGCCGAGCGCGCCGCCGGCCCCCGCGGAAAGAGCCGAGCGGCCGCGGAAACGAACGAAGCGCCCCGGAGGGGGAGGCGGAAAGAGCCGAGCGGGCGGCGGGAAGGCGCGAGCGGCGTTTCCGCCCCGGGGCGGCCCGCGCGGGAAGCACCGAGTGGGGCTGCCGGGGGGGGGGAGGGGGAGCGCGCGCTCACCCCCCCGCTACCCCCGCCCCGCCGTGCGCGCGGCCGAGGCGGCCGGAAACTCGCGAGCGCTCACGGAAGCGGCCGAGGGCGGCGGAGGCCTCAGCCTCAGCGCGGAGTCACCGAATCCATCGGGCTGGAACAGACCTGCGAGATCGTCGGGTCTCGCCTGTGACTGAACAGCACCGTGCCAACTAGATCACGGCTCTGAATGTTTAAGTTCTTGAACACCTCCCCGAACGGTGGCTCCACCACCCCCCTGGGCAGCCCATTCCAATATCTAATCTCTCTCTGGGAAACTACTCCCTGATGTCCAGCCTAAACCTCCCCGGGCTCAGCTTAAGACTGTGTCCCCTTGTCCTGTTGCTGGTTGCTTTCCTGCGAAAGAAACTGACCCCCTTCCTCAGCCCCCAGTGCCACCCAACCACCCCCTCCCTTTTCAGGCACCATCTGGCAGGTGAGGTGCCAGAGCCAAGCCATGCTGCCCTTCAATGCACCTCGGCTTCCTGATGTCCCTACTGTGCCCTCCCCGTGTGGCCCTTCAGGTTATTCCTCTAAACTTTCCTCTGCTGCCTTGTTCTTACTCCAGCCTGTGACTCCCATCCTGCTGCCTGCCCCCTCTGGCCCTGTGGCCAAACCCTTGCAGCCCAAAGCCAGGCACAGGGTGACTGCTGCTCCACCATGACACAATATCCCCATGGAAAACCCCAGCCCTGAGCCACTGGTGCTGGAAGTGGCAGAGGTGTGGCCACCAGACACCCAAGCTATCAAACCACCATGTTTACAGTAACTGGGGGCAAGGTGGGATTTGGAGCACACATGGCTCCAGCTCCCTGCATTGCCAGCTCTCCCCCAGGAGGAACAGAAGTTGGCAGCACAGGGCAGAGGAGCAGCTGTGTGTTTGTGCCTTGCCAAACAGGAGCAGCCGTGTGCTGTGGTCCTCAATCCCACCTGCAGTCCCAGTGTGATGTCTGTCACTGAGGGTTTTAAATGCTGGATAGGTGAAATGTTTCTGGAAAAGGTTTCAAAGAGCTGCTGCCACCAGGGAGCAGGGAAAGAGCCAGTGGTGCTCCAGCCAGGTGAGTTCCCATCTTCTGTTCACAAATCCAGCTGAATGCACTCAATCATACACCCTGAAGAATGGACTGCTCCAACTATTACAGTTTTTATTCCCAGATAAAAACTGTCTGTACTCAGAAAAGCTGCTTTTCCTCTCCCAAGACCTCAAGATGGCACTACATAACAAGATTTGAAGCTCCAAAGCCAGTTCATTTTTGCAGCTGGCCCAGCAGGATACCGCTGCCAGGTGCACCGTGTGACATGGCATTGCTGTGCCATTTAGTTCAGCTCATCTCCAGTCTTGTTTTCTCTAAAAGGTTGAACTGATTTTACTTATGCTGAGTTCCATCTAATTCCCCCCAAAATTGCAAGAGATGGTGCAAGGAGCGATAACAGCTGTACTTTGCCTTAGATTTTGTTGATTACAGTTATTCTAAAATAAACTGTTGATATTTAAAAATAAAAAAAGGCATCTCAGGTTAAACAGCTAAAACATTGTTTCATTGCAAACATGTACCATGGCTTGGGCCACAGGTCATTTTCTGTTTCTGCTGCACTTTTTCCCTCTGCCCTGTCTGCAGACAGGAGCTCCAAGGTTGCAGGACAGTGTAGCCTTGGCTGTCACCAGTTTTTGCTCCAGCTGTTGTGAATCTCTGCCGTGCCTTTGGCCCATACCCGTTCCTGTCTGCAGTGTATGGCTGACATAACTTTTGAAAATTATTTTTCCTTTTTAGAGTCTGCTAAGATATGAAAATCTCCATGCACTAAATAGGTCTTTTACAACTCCTTTTGGGAGCAGAATGTTTCTTCCACTTAAAGCTTTTGAGACAAGCAAGAAATCTAATCTCAATGTTCTTGATTTGGTCCATTCATTGGCAGTGAATGGAAATGCTTCTCACTCCGAATCACCAGTAGAGGTGAAACAGGCTTGTCTTACCATCACATCCTTCTCATTTCACAGGATACTGAGGCAGAGGGTTCTTTTTGAGTGTTTTGACATTTGAGCTCTAGCCCCATTGTTCAGTTTTAGTATTTTAATGTGTTTAATAAAGTATCTTCTCTGCATTTTGTTATCAAGTACAGATGTAAATTAAACTAGGTAATTAAAAATCTGTTTAATTTGTCTAAAACATGAACATTTTTACATGTTGCTAGAACTGCATTTCCAGAAGTGTTTCCAAGATCAAAGTATAAGGATTCAGCCTTTGTGTTCTTTTTAGTAATAAAGTACTTTGTGTGAGAAAATATTTATTATGAGCAGAACAAATGTAACCATCTGAGTGTCTCTTGTTTGACTCATGGATTTGTCTGTTTTCTCATCCTTCTCTTTGCCCTTTATGTTAATATTTGTATGTTATCAGGTTTTTTTTCTCACACGAGTGACAAAAATGATGTACATGTACCACCCATACATGTTGCCCAGAAACTGAATTGCTTGCCCCTGTGCAGCAAGCCTAAAGAATCACAGCAATCAGAATTTAAGTGAATAAATTCTGGTCCTTGAAAGGCGAATAAAGTGCAATAGCCAGATCTCAGTGTAAGGCTCCCATAAAACCTGGGCAACACTCCCAGCCTGAGCGATGGGAGTGCTGCTGGTGTTCCTCCAGACCAGGCAGGGCTGCCTCTGTGCAGCTGCACAGCTCCTTGCCTGCCCCTGATCCTGCTGCCCCTTTGGCACCCTGCTGACTCTGCCAGTCCTGCTCTCACAGCCCCCTGGCAGCTCCTCTGCACTTTTCTGAGTCTGCCAGCTCACTGAGGAGTTTGCACAGGGCATCTTGAGCAGTGGCTACGTCTCTACCAGCCAGTGTAGGCTCCCCATAGAACAGCTCGACAGAGCAATTGAGTCAAACTAAAACAAATGCCTCCGATAGGCCGGATGCCTGAAGGGTGTTAAGATTACACCCAGTGTTTTGTATCTCCATCTCTTGCACCGTCACAGAGGCTTAAACCATGGATGGATGTGAGCTGGATTCATGCTTGCTTCATACTGGCTCCGTGGCAGGGCTGTGTGATCTCACACACAGCTGCTGTGGAGCCTTCTCACAGCTGTTTTGCACATTCCTCCTTCCCTTCTGAGCAAAATCGGGGCACTAAGCAAACTTGGAACTTCTTTGGGAGAGGGAACAAAAGTCTGAGTTGCAAAAGCCCCTCTCTCACTGACATTGACACCTTCCTTTCAGGGATGCCTCCTGGGGAATGTGTAGAAAATAGGATAGGAACGATGTGCCAATTACCTACGGAGTCCAGCAGGGAGAGGCTGACTTGGAGAGTGAATTGGAATGCTCAGCAGTTTTCTTCTTCATCAGCAAAAGTTTGCTCGATGATGAGTGAAACCCAGCAAGATTAATTACTTTTCTTACAATTAAGCCTCAGAGGCAAATTCATTAGTTTTCAGCTTCCAGGTTGGTTACCCTGGGCAGCAGACTCCTTGCACTCCTTGCAGCATTGCAATTGATGGCCCATGGCCCAGGGTCCACAGAGGCCAACGAGTGACATGGAGATCCAGAAAGGTTTGTGCTTGGCTCTGTGGTGTGCCAGTCACAATGCACTCGATGTCGTCTGGAGCAGTCAGTGCTGCTGCACTGGCAGCACGAAAGACAATAATTACTGTGGAAACACAGAAGCACATCTGGTTTTAGTCTACATACAGCTGTAAAGACAGCAACACAAAAGTATTTTTTGCAGGCCACAGGGATCTTTGAGAGTGATTTATAACAAAATAATCTCTTGGTGTCAAGCACTCACTGACAATTTCTAGAGGACCACTGTGCTCTGCCAGTGCAGAAACAGACAGTGTTTTGTACAAATATGACATTAAGCACAAGTAGTGCTGGGGAGGAAAGAAGGCAGAGAAGGTGAGATGTGCTCTGGGGCTTTGCAGCTGTATACACTAATGGATATTCACCCAAGGAAATGGAGAGTATTTGCAAAAAATGAATGTGGAGGGTGACAGATATTACATTAGGCAGTAAAACATCCAGCACTTTTCACTGTACAGACTATTACATTGCAATTTCCAGCCTATACAAACTGACCAACTGATTTTAAAGCAGATGTAAGAGAAGGCAGGGCTACATCCACACCCCTGTGATGGACATGACCATTCTGTAGCACAGACAAAACTTCTGAACTGGTGCTGACTTTCTGAGGACAATGAAGATAATAAAGAGGTGTTGTTCTGAAATCCAATGACAAAGGCATGCCAGTCCTCCATTTCAGCCTCTGCTTCTGAGATAGATGGAGGCTTAACTCCAAACTCTCATACAGAGCAGTCTTCTATCATTTCACAGCCTCCCAGGATGAGCTAGAACTGCTTACTCATCAGGATATGGACAAAACCCTACAGGTTTAGTATCTGCCACAGAGAACAAGATTCACTGGACTCCCTGAGCACTTTATTACAGAACTAGGTCTAAATTCACAGTTAACTCAGAACAAAGTAACCGATAATAGAAATGGTTCGTCAACATCATACCACTTAAAGTTAACGATCTGCAGCTCAGGCCTGCCCTTACTGCTCTTGGACATTCATCATTACTAATAGTAATAAATCTTCCTGGCCAAATACAGGCTTTACAAGCAGGCAGATTGCATGCTCAATTAGCCCAAGGAAATTGGTCACTTTGCTTAACCTCTGCTGTTTGAAATATGGAGTCCCCCTGCTTCACCATCCTGCTGGAGCAGCATCA